GTTTTAAACCTGAATAAAAAATCAATACAGGGCTTTAGAATATCGATACAGTATCGGGAAATGAAATATCGCGATATTTAAGTGTATCGATATTTTCTTACACCCCTAGTATCTCCTTGAATCAGTGCTAATAAGTAACGGAATAAACTGTGATGTTTGTCCAACTTTCCTATAAGTTTTATTAAATTTCTTTCTTTCTTTTGTTGCAAATTAGTCACAAAGCTGCACTTTTCTGACTCATGGAGACTTTATTGATCAATTAAATGATCGAAACAAAACATTTATAAATTAAGTTTCTTTTAATTTATTTTCTTCTAAGATCATTTTATGTTGTTTTTTTTAAATAAAGACGGCAGTTTGCTCAAATCCCCTTCAGGAAAACCCTCGGAACATTATAACGTCATGTCAGAAGTTTAGAAACCAGAACAATTTGATAAGAAATGTTTGAATCTAACATCATGATGCGCTCGTGGAAACTAGCCGATGCAATAAAAGTTATTTTCACGCCTTAAACAAGTCTTCAAGAAGCCAAATTTCCACAGTTAAATCAAAAAATACAGAAAAACAAAACAATTTGACWAGTTTTATCTGATCTGTTTGATTTTAACTTATAAAACAGGACATTGAATCATTTAAATAAGACAATCGAACAAGAATAAAGCATAAATCAAAGAAAAAGACTTTTAGAAAAGGTTTAATAAGTTATTTTTAGTGTTTCAGTTTGTGCCGTCGACTATCAGGAACTTTAGTTTGAACAGCTGTTTGACGCGACTCAAGATCTCAGGAGTTTTTAAAGTTAATCCTCATTTMTTCAACAGTCATGAGGCACAAAATGTTTATTATGAACCACAAATTATATTAGTTTTCATACAGATTTCATGTAAAATCCCCATATTTACAAGATATTTAATGTTTCACATTATAAACCAGATCAACTGTGGTACTTTGGGATAATATTTTGTTGTCTTTTTGTGATAATTGTGTGTTTTTATGTCAAATAAAGACCGAATAATGTAAATATGAGAAAATCTAATGTTTCTGTTCTTTTCATGAAAATGGTTTCTTTTGTTTTTTTTATTTTGAGGATGAATATCAACAAAAAGAAAGCTGTTAAACATGATTTTATTACTTTTTTATTTTCATATTATCAAAATGAAAAACATTTTACAGAAACAGATAAACTTTTATAAGCAAGACGAGTCGTTTTGTCACATATAGTCCAGGATTTCTGTCTCCATCTCGTTTTCGCTTCCCTCAGACGGCTGAAATTCATCTTCCTCCTCCTCCTCATCTTCTTTATTCTCACACTCCACTTCCTCCTCCTCCTCCTCTTCTTCCTCCTCCTCCTCCTCCTCTTCATCATCCATCTCTGGGGAGCTCATATTTAGGCGTCGTCTTTTTTTAGACACTTGAACAAAGGCTGAAAATAAAACAGAGAAAAATATTTCACAAAAATACTTAAAAACCTCAAATGAATTGTAGTTTTTAAGATAAAAACACATTTTCACCACATAAAAGGAGAGTTCGGTTCTTTTACAGTGAATCTCTGAGGAAAGGTTTTGAACAATCACTAACCTACCTGCTGSAGATCGCTCTGCGAGTGACCTCCGTTTGGAGAAACAGGAGCTTAACTCTGATCAGATCGACGAGCTGACCGCTAATCTGCAGGAAGTGCTTCGTCTCATCCACAAATCAACACAGGAAAAACACACGGAAATTTTAAAAAAGGCGCCCTCTAGTGGTCGTCTGCAGTAGAGGTTTTCAATCTACGTAAAACAATACTGGTCCTGCAGAGCCACTATCCTGCATGTTTTAGACGCTCCTCCGCTTCGACACACCTGCTTTGAATTAACGATGGATCAAGAGGCTTCTGCAGAACCTAAAGACCCGCTGAGGAGCAAGAAAACAACTAAAGCCTGCAGGATAGTGGGCCTCGAGGACCAGGGTTAGAACTCAGTGTTTAAAACCGTCGTTTGAACCTAAACAGTCACATGAACCGTTATTCTGTTTTTGAATTAGCCGCTAGCTTGATAATCCAGGCAGAAATAAACTCTATTTCTCCAAACGCCTATCTGCAGCAGGTAAGATGATTGCTCACAAATGTTTCTGAAACGCCCGCTTCAAAAGGTTTGAGGCATCGTTTTAAGGCAGCAGTTTAGAGAAAAGAAGAGATTTATGAAGATAAAAAAAATAAAGTCCCAAAATGAGACTCGTGAGCACCACGCCCAAAACTGCACTTCCTGTTTTCCATTTCCTTTAACGTCTCTTAAGATTTGTCATTTAAACATGGACGTGTTTGGCATCGGCTAGAAGCTCGTAAAAAAAAAAACATTTCTACATCCACCGAACAGCTCAAACCACAAACTGTTGAATCAGAAAGGAAACAAATTGTAGAAAACGGCACAAACTTTAAAAAAAACCCTCAGGGYTGAAGAGATGCTAATTAGCTTAGCTGAACAAATAAAAAAAAGAGTTCTAAATGGTTCTAGCTTCAGTTTCCTTGCCTGGTTTCTTGGCTCTCACGACCTTCTTGATCATGGTCGAGATGATGTCCCTGAGTTTGTCGGTGGTGCCGAGGACACACCAGCCATCGCGCTCGTCACACTCCTGCTCTTTACCGYTGTTCTGCTGCATCACCTCTTTGATACTGAACAAACAACAACAACTTTCAGGATTTTACTGCCGACTTCACGTCACGTCGCCAGGCGGGTGYGTGCGTCGTACCTGTCCACTTCTAGATCACAAAGCTGGTAGAACATTTGTCTGTGAGGGGGCATCATCCCATCCCTGAAAATGTAGAAGGACTCCTGTGGAGGTAGAGCAGAGATCTGGTTTAACTTCTTCTTCTTTGGTTTTTTTAAACTGGCAGCGTGAGTGTGAACAGCTCGCTGAGACCAAACACCGTCAAAAACCTGGTGGAAGCTACTGCTAAACCGCTAATCTTTACCATCAAAACGGTTCATAAAGCGTCCAAGTCTGGTTCAGGGTTGAGTTTTCTTCTCCAAGAGGTGGAGCTACAGCGCTGATGAGCTAACACACATCCTGCACCGCAGCAGAGGAAATAAGTGTTTCACCTCTTGTTTCTGCTAATTTACTTGTTTTATTTAAACACTTCAACATTAAAATACACATATTTGTTTGTCCCAGATTAAAGCAAAGATGTGYTTTTTGTTTCACTTTATTTTGCAACAAACTCAGGAAAKGCARTTTCAAATGTGCGTTCATGTTGAATGGTTTGAGTGTGTCCCGCATTCTCCACATACGCCCTTAGCCCCGCCCATTTTGGGTACTATTTCCGACCKTACGCAAAATCTGCATTTTTACGGACTTCGRTGAAKTGTATTACCCACAATTCMTGGCTGTGTGTGACATTTGGAATGAAAAGGCAGAAATCTGGCAAWGTCCACTGAGCACCTTCCAGTTTAGWGGTGGCAGTAATGAGTAATGAGTCTGCCAACCACCAAKAAAACCAAAAGAAGAAGAACTGAGTTCTCATACTCTGATGTATCAGCCTCCTTCGCTTCATGTRCGTTCTTCTCCTRAAAGCCATTGCTTTTTGTAGKTCTACTATCATTTTTAGCAATATAAATGCCAAAACAAGTGACTGGTCCCGCCATGTTGGATGTCGCAGTTACGACGCAGAGGCGCAAGTCGATGACGTAATCCGTACCGTCCCAATCCTCAATTGTTTTGCACATTTGTAACCTGCGCACTTGGACTGAATCCACACTTCACAGAGAGGTGTAGGGTGTGCACYGAGTATTGGGACTGGGCCTAGAAAGTATTCTCTTTTTGTTTCCATCGACGTTTTTTAACGCGCATTTTGAAGTATCGCGTCAGAAAATGTGAACGGAAACGGCTCGAGTCGAAAAAACTTCCTCCGATTCGCAAAAAAAAGTTGATACGCTCGCTTGAGGTGGTGTTTTGGGTTTTTCGAAAAAGAGTTAATGTGCAAAAGGAGAGATGGACATTTACCTCACATGTTGATCAGCTGTTCTCGCTGTCTGAACGGTACCAGAGCGACTGCAGCTGGACCCTCCTCCCACTGTCGGCATATTCTCCGTTATTCCCGTAAGGTGAAGAGAATCACATTTCTTTCTCTACGTCTCCAGACAGCAGTAACGTCACCAGAACTAGCTGATATGACAGAATAATTCCTGAAAGTAGCAACACATACCTGATAACTTCTCTCCATTTTCCTGAGATGTGACTTTTACTTCCTGTTTACTACAAATATGCGTCTGACGGAACTGATTTGTTCAAGCCAGTTGATGGAAACACGTCTGATTCGCATTTTGTCGGTTTTATCTTTTTGCGAAATTTTAAAATTTGCTCAAAATTTGAATTGAAATTGGATGGAAACATGGCTGCTGCTACATGTGAAAATCTAAATATTAGTCTTTATCTGAGTCGCGGCACAACGTATTGAAAACTTATTAGCGGTAAGACAAACAGCCTGTGTTATACAGTGAGTTAAATCTGATTAATTATTTTAAAGTCAGCAGAGCTGTGCCCACCAATAAGAGCTGCCTTGTAGTTAAAAAAAAAAAAACACCTTCAGCTGGTACGAGGCTGGAGCTGAATCCCGACTGCAGCCCGGACCCTCTGGTGGGGGGATATCCATCACTGTAGCTGCCTGAGGGCCTGAAGAAAACATCTACACTCAATTCACAGATTTACATCTAAATCTACTCAGTTTCTTTACTTTACTGATTTAAAAACAAACTTCACCTGCTTTGTTGATGGTGATTGGTAAATTGTAGTTCAGGGCGCTCCTTTTGGCTTTCACAGGTATGTTGGGTAATAAATAACCTAAAAAACGAGAGGAAAAAAACTGATTTTAAGGTGCGTTTATATTTAAAGTAACGAGAGTTTCAACAGATTAAGTTTTACCGTGTTTGGTGCTGCAGCGGACCCTGAAGTCTAACATCTGATACTTCTTGGACTCTGGGCTCTTTCGGGGGTCGTAGCCCAGACGAACCCACAAACTCCTCCAGGGTCCGGTCACCTAYGTGTGAGCACAGAATGAGACAACACTGAGAGGCTTTATAAAGCTACAACAGGGCCTACAAAATTCATAAAAAAATTCCTGGTTGGACTCATCACTGTACAGTTCTTTCAGAATTATGTTTTGTATAGTGGTATTAATTTATATTTTCAGATCTTCCAAGGTGCCAATTATGCAACTGTCTGTGCATTGTTGCCCAAATCAAATTCTGGAAGTGGTCATTCAACTAGATCTGTTACAAAAGGACAACTGATATTACCAACTTTTAAAAACTGTTACGGCCAGAGGTCTTTCTTCTATGTTTATACTAAAGCATGGAATGACATTCCTCAAAACATAAAGTCCATTTCAAAACTACAGCCCTTTAAGAAGAATCTTGTCTGCCATCTGCTGGACACTTTCTGTTGTGCTCATATTTAGACGTCCTATTTTGCAAATGCTGCCTTTTTGAAATTTGGTATGCTTGTTTGTCTTTGTGTCTATGTTGTATAATGATGTGATTGTGATGCTGTATTTCTGAGTGTTTTATGTGTTGCAGAACAGGAACCTGCTGTAAAACAGCAATTATGCTGAGTCAGGCTTGATTTTTAATMATCTTTTCCTGTTAAATAAATAAATCAAATCAAAATCAAACAGATGATCTGATGAAGTCATATTTGTAGCCTGTTTAGACTAACTGAATATTTTTTTATTTTCTTTACTTTAAAATGAAAAATGGAAATGTTACAGCGCCCCCTGTGGGCACAGTACAATAACTTAAAGAGATCCCTGATTAGTTGTAACATTAGACTTTATTTGATAAACATTTATTTTAACTGTAAAATAAAGACTGTAAAAATACTGTAGGCTGTTTAGTTTTGTCCATTTTTAAAAATATATTTTAACAGGAATAGGGCCATTTTATTTACACACAAAGCATTCTGGGTAAATGATGACGTGGATAGGTCCTCGGTGTGAGGCTGCTAGCGAGCTATATCCACCCTGAAGGTTAATCTTGGACAATATCTGATGATCGACTCTTAAATGAAACCAGAGAGCGTTGACAGAGAGGAGAAGGTAGAAATGACTCAGCCTGGAACTGAAAATATGGATGGAGGACAACAGAGCTGCTTCATGGAAGAASAACCTCAGCTTAGCCTGTTAGCTTTAGCACTGACGCTATATTGCCTTATACATATTAGTTCAGCGCTAGTGCGACAAACTAACAAGCTAAACTGAGGTCCTCCATCCATATTTTTGCGTTCCCCTCTCTGTCATGTGGATGGAGGACCTCAGTGACGAGAGGAGAATGTGTAGCTCTGAGCTAATACATATATATGGAGAGAGCATGGGGGCTAACCCTAAAGCTAACAGGCTAAGCTGAGGTTGTTCTTCCATGAAGCAGCTCTGTTGTCCTCCATCCATATTTTCAGTTCCAGGCTGAGTCATTTCTACCTTCTCCTCTCTGTCAACGCTCTCTGGTTTCATTTAAAAGAGTCGATCATCAGATATTGTCCAAGATTAACCTTCAGGGTGGATATAGCTCGCTAGCAGCCTCACACCGAGGACCTATCCACGTCATCATTTACCCAGAATGCTTTGTGTGTAAATAAAATGGCCCCGTTAGTTTAAAAATTATAAAAACTAAACATCCTACATTATTTTTCCAGTCTTTATTTTACAGTTAAAATATATGTTTAGCAAATACAGTCTAATGATTTACCTAATCATGGATCCCTTTAAGAAGTTTCAAGGTTTAAATTCACTTTTTTTAAGAAATAGGTTTAACAAAGTAGGTTAAAAAAATGAAACAAACAGAAAAATCTGCATTTTTTAATGCTGAAGATGTAAAAAAACTAATAAAAAAACATTTGTTGATTTATGCACCAAACCAGCACCAGCTAAGTTCCAGTTTTATTTAGGCRTGACGGGCCGAGGTGACACCTCACCATGTAGTAGGCGTAGACGGGCAGCAGCAGCTTCAGTTTCTCAGGGTGGATGTCGAGGTTGGCCTTGAGCGCGTTCCGCGACCAGATGGGCCGGCTCTCAAACATCTAAGCACCGGGAGATAAGATACCGGCGTGAGGGGAAAAAAATAACTCAACAACATTGCGTAACGTGATTATATATCAGAACGGTAACACTGTTGATCTTGGTCGTGACCCGAGAAGACAGCTGCACAAATACCTCCCTCATCTTCTCCTCGACCCGCTTGTCGCTCTCCTTCTGGCAGAGYCGATCCCAGTTCAGCCGGGCCGCCTCCAGGCACTCGGTCGGCACCGTCGGGTCGGTGAAGGTGACGAAGATGGCGTTGTGCGGCCGTCGGGCGCGATTCAAGCCGATGACATTCTTACCGACAGATAACTGGCTGTGAACAGAGGAGAGGGGATTTTAAAGGAAAGAAAAGAAAATAAAACAATGACCTTTTATGCTAAAATGCGAGCTGAGTGACTTGGCTGAAAAAAATCGGAACAAAATGATTAAAGTTCCTGAGATGTGCTTATTTTCTAAATACAAAAAGTCAAAGAAAAATCAAGAAACTTGGCATAAAACACATGATTTTACCCATTTTGTTACATAACTATCATGTTTTCTTTTGAACTTGTCTCAAAGTGAAACAGGAAGTGACATCAAAGGGGAAATTTCTTGTCTTTCTTTATTAAAACTATATTTTTTGAACTCTGACTTTTCTTCACCTGATGACTCAAAATAACCTAAACAAACATCAGATTCTTCTCTACAGTCTGTGTTGTTGAACATTTTAACAACGCTCTGTTTACATGCAGACTTTCCCCTTTGACATCACTTCCTGTTACATCACATTTATTTATTTTGAGATACGTTGTCCATGATGGCGGCGGTGGCGGCAGATGTATGTAGCTGTGCGGTGTCGCTGCAGGAAAATACATCCCAATTGGCTTTACAGGCATCTGCAGGTCTGTTTTTGACCAAATTTAGCTCGGCTTTAGTGTTGCTGTTACTCTGTATGCTACATAAAACTGCTGTAAAACAGCAATTATGCTGAGTCAGGCTTGATTTTTAATAATCTTTTYCTGTTAAATAAATAAATCAAAATCAAATCAAATCATGTTATCGTTCCAAATATGTATTCATGTTTATTACAGAAATTTGACATCACAATTACTTTAAAGTTAAAACGAGCCAAACTAAAAAAAAAAAATCAAAAAAGCAAAAAGGTAGCAAAATAGTAGCTACAGCCAAAAAGTAGCAAAAGGCTAAACAACAGTAGCTAAATGTGAGCATATGGCAACAAAAAGTTAGACGAAAGATAAAAAATGTTAGCTAGAGGTAAAAGGAGAAAAAGACTAAAGGGAGCAGAGCACCTAGCTAAAAACAAAGTAGCATAAAAGCTGAAGCAGATCTCAAAGTAAACATTATTGAAGGAGCTGAAGAGATTTTCACAGAGCCTGTCAGGTGACAACAGAGAAGTCATTTAAAATTATCTCGAGGATATGTGTTGTTTATCTTGTGGCCACATGTTGTTTATCTTGTGGTCACGTTACTTATCTCATGACAGAGTTTTTATCTCATGGTCACGTTTTATTTATCTCATGGCCAAGTGTTTTTATCTCATGGTCACGTTATTTACCTCATGGTCACGTGTTATTTATCTCATGGTCCCGTGTTATTTATCTCATGGCCAAGTGTTTTTATCTCATGGTCACGTTATTTATCTCATGGTCACGTGTTATTTATCTCATGGTCACGTGTTATTTATCTCATGGTCACGTGTTATTTATCTCATGGTCACGTGTTATTTATCTCATGGCCAAGTGTTTTTATCTCATGGCCAATGTTATTTATCTCATGGTCACGTGTTATTTATCTCATGGTCACGTGTTATTTATCTCATGGTCAAGTGTTATTTATCTCATGGTCATGTTATTTACCTCATGGTCACGTGTTATTTATCTCATGGTCACGTGTTATTTATCTCATGGTCCCGTGTTATTTATCTCATGGCCAAGTGTTATTTATCTCATGGTCATGTTATTTACCTCATGGTCACGTGTTATTTATCTCATGGTCACGTGTTATTTATCTCATGGTCACGTGTTATCTCATGGTTACGTGTTATTTCATGGTCACGTGTTATTTATCTCATGGCCATATGATATTTATCCCATTGCCATGTTTATATCTCATGGCCAATTGTTTTTATCTCTTGGCCACATGTTTTTATCTCTTGGCCACATGTTTTTATCTTGGCCATGTGTTATTTTTCTAGGGCCACATGTTATTTTATATAGTGGCCACATGTTTATCTCGTAGCCAAGGGTTAATATCTAGTAGGCAAATTTTTATCTTGTGGCCATGTCTTATATACCTTGTGGCCATGTGTTATCTCGTGGCCACATCATTTATCTCATGGCCATGTGTTATTTTATCATGTAGATGAGCTTTTTTCTCATGGCCAACTGTTTTAAATCTTGTGGCCATGTGTTATTTTCATGGCCATGTTCATGTTCATTATCATGTAGATTAGTTTTTTCTCATGGCCAACTGTTTTAAATCTTGTGGCCATGTGTTATCTATGGCCACATTATTGTAGGTTTTGGTCACCTACCTGGACGCCGAGGAGTGTCCATGGGTGTCGGGCCGGTAGAAATAATCCACAGGGTTGTCGAGGCGCGAGAAGATGGCCGGGGGCAGGAAGCAAGGCACGTCCCGCTGAAAGAAGGCCTCGCTCTCAGGTTTACAGAGGATGATTTTGTCGTACAGAGACGTGTCTTTCCCATCCTGTGAATGCACGGCGAGGCACTGAAAATCTGCCATCCCTGCGAATAAGAAAACAAAACACCTCATGAGTACTTTGTTCTGTTAACTTTCCCCCCTCCAAAGATTTCCCCATCCTACCCTGGAATTTGTACGTCGTCCCAACGATTCCCACGATYTCCATGCGGAGCTCGGCATCTTTAGGGTCTTTCTTTCGCGTCCGCCGCCGCACCTTCAGGAGGAGGTTGCTGGCCGGGAGGCGGTTTCCACACACGCWGTGACAGAAAGGGTCTTGGGGTCGGAAACGCAGCTCGAGGCGCCTGTTGGCGTCACCGTAGGTCTGAGGGGGGCGAACAAGACAAGTCAACGGTGGGATTAGTGCAGCTTCCTGATCGTTGATTTGAAAAATAAATTCTGCCATCAGTGATGRAAATGTTGCTCTATCCACTGCACTTGTAAAAAAAAAACAATTCATGGACTTTAATATTATTTTTTGTCTCACAACTACAAGCTAWAAGCAGCAAGAGTAGCTAATAGCATCCATCTACCTATCAGGACYAGCCATAAATACAATAAATGTTTATATTTACATATTAATATATATATTTCGGCTACTAAGTTAGAATAATGAGAATATSCACTGATTACAAAGAGGAAAAAGTACCCAAAAAATCATTTATCATCTTCCTCTATCCCCCAAAAGTACTTTTTTCACCAACAAAATAATGAAATAATAAGTTATTATATATTTCTGATAATAAACTCGATATTTGTGGTGGATAAAATTGGTTATTTAATAAAAAAATACCAGATTAAGACCCAGATTAGAGATTATCGTGATGTTCTCCGTTTTCCTCACTTTGCTTATCGTCTGCTCTCCTCCCAGAGTCTCCAGCATCTTGTCCACGCTGCTCACCACCGCCGGATACTCCACACACACCAGCTTCTTGTCCCGCAGCTCCACGGAGCTCGAGCCGCCCGGAACGGYGTCTTCCGCCGGACCTGAAAAGCTGAGCTCTTTCAGAGTAAAGTTCACATTYACCGGAGAGGTGCCCGTCATCTCAACCGTCTTCAAAGTCTTACATGACACAGGAGGTCCGGCTAAACCGCGCAGGTTAGCGAAACCCGCTTTGAAAGCGGCCGGAAACAGTTCACGGTGGGAGCGTGTCCGATTTGAAAATAAGACCGTGCGGAAACGGATGCGGAAATGAAAGGTTCTGCAATCGAATTTTATTTTATTTTATTTTATTTTATTTTATTTTATTTTATTTTATTTTATTTT